AAAAAAAACAAAAAACAAAAAAAACTCTTTATTGAATAACGTATCTCTTTTAATAAAAAAAAAAAGAAAAGAAGAAGAAAGTATAATACACAAAAAAAAATCCCAAAAAAAAAAAAAAAAGTTATCGTTGAAAATTTTTCTTATGAGACAAAAAAAAAATGTTGGATAAATTATTTCTTTTGACAAAATTACAAAAAAAAATTATACAAAAAGTTATTTCTGTTAATTTAATTGTCTCTTTTGACAAGGCTCTTCCCTCTCCCCATCCCAAAAATATATATTTCTATAAGCCAAAAATAAGTTATATTTGTTGAATAAATTATCTCTTTTAACTTTATTAAAAAAATAATAATAATAATTTAAAAAAGGGTAAAAGATTTTTTTTGATAATTTAATCAACCAAAAAAAAAAAAAAAAAGGAGATAATTTATGTGGTGCCTCGTACCGCTTGTGGCAAAGGTTTAAGATTTTATACCACAAAACTTTTGTGCATCAGGTGTAAATGATGGCATATTTTATCAACATATAATTACATATTTTATAAGAATTATTTATTTATTTTTTAATTCTCAAATGCTGAACATAATTCGGTAGTAAAATATCCTCTTAATAACAAGAAAAAATACCATAAAAAAGAATTTTTTAGAACATGTAAAACTTTCATGGTAAAATACCATAAAAAAGAATTTTTAGAAAATGTAAAACTATTACTAGTATAATATAGAAAAAAAATCCCATAAAAAACTTTTTAGAACATATAAAAATATTATTTTTCTAGAATATGTAAAACTTTTAACGTAAAAACATGTACTTATATTGTTTTGATAGGAATGCAAAATTGCGCGAGAAATCAATGTGTATATTATGATGGAACGAAGTGAAAATTTGTATAGTCTTTCAAAGTTTAATATCTTTAAATAATGATTTGAAATTAAGGCGTTTGTTTTTTACATTGTGTAGTTGATAATTTTGAATAATTAACAATAATTTCTATCCACTTAAAAAACTAAAATATTATAGACTGAATAAGACGGTAAATCAAATGTAAATTATGTAGATAACAGTGATTATAAATCAAATTCAATTTTCTTTTAATATATTTTGTGCATGTAATTATAGAGAATAAAAAATCTGACAACGATTTTGTATTTTGTATTTAATACGTTTAGGTAAATAATAATAATAAAATGTATATATAAAAAAAAAAAAATTGTATTTATAAAAGGTGGGAAGTCTGAAAAACCAATTACTTTAGAATGGGTCACCTAATTTTTTTTTTTTAAGAAACTGACGTCTTGTGAAACTAATTCTATAATAAATAAAAATCTAAATATATATATATATATATATGTGTGTGTGTGTGTATGTGTAAAATTTATAAAAAATAACGTGGGCAATAATAAGTGAGTTCCTCGCTCTAAGCGCGACCCTATACTGGACTACGGGGTCGACTTCTTTCCAGTCTCCGCCTACGATTATACCAAAGTAGGGGAAAACGGACTTTGACGCTGGGGAGTTCCGCGGTGGACAGAGGAAAATTTATAAACATTTATTTAGTTGTACCGAAAATATATGGAGAAGACATGGAGATTAGACCCATACAAGAGCATCCCTACACAATCAGCTATAAAATTTTTTTAGATTAATTACAATAACGCCTTCTAAGATTTGCCTTAATAATAATCATATACAAGTTAGTCTCTTTTTGAACAACGACAACTCTTTAATCTTGATAAAGTTAACAAAGACATCCGTCCTACGTCTGACAAAAGCTAAAATGACATGTTACCCTTGACCTTTCAATTGCCTCATTTTTTTAAATATTTTAAATTTAAATTAAAAAAAAAAAACTATACCCATTTTAAGAACAAAAATACCCTCCACCCACCAGCACTGCCTTCTTCCTCATCCACCGGCCACCTTCATTACCAAATGTATGTTAATATATATATGTGTATATAAATATATATAAAGGATGACAAATACGAATTTTTTGATTTATAATATACATATAAATCTTCACTCTCATTATGTTCTTTCTTTTTCCAAAGCAAAATTTGACTTATTGGCATAAATCAATACATATCGCGCACTGGAATCAAAATCAGACTTATTGGCATAAATCAGTAGGCATATATCTTTGCCGGCCACCACACTTCCTCATCGCCACAGGTTGCAGATCTGCACCGCCGTCACAGATCATTGCCGTCGCTGCAGGTTGCCATTGCAGATCATCACTGGCGCTTTAGATACAACCATTTTTACAACAAAATCACCACTATCCGCACCCCCATTGAAGACCCACGGCGGCGAAACTAATGACAACGGCCACTTTCTCCTTGCCAAAATTGTCGAAATGGGCTTATAGATGCAAAAATTAAAGAGGGTGGAGAGAGATCTCACCATGAAATCCTTCATCTTTGGCTTCTTAAACTTCTTCCCAAACTTCTCCACCACCATGTTAATCACTGTCATGCTCGACAACGCCGTTAAAATCAACAATCTCTCCCCTTTTCAATTGATCTTGATGCTCCAATATCTGGGCTGAAGGACATCAAGCTAGTTTCGTCAATCTTATTGTTGTTGATGATCTTGACGGCGACGTTGTGTTCGGTGGTGGTGTCCCAAGCGTGGTAGACCTTGGTAAAAACGTCCTAACCGTACTTTTGAACATATTCTTTACACCCAGTTCCATCTTCATCACTTAATCATCCCTCCGACTGGGCTCACCACCATCCACTTTGTCGCCGCCACCAACAACTAAGATGCCGCCACCAACATCTAAGTTGAGAGCTTAGAGAGAAATGGTGGTTAGTATACATCAAGGGCAATTCTGTCATTTACGTCCTTAGATATTTTACATTAAAAAAATTAATTAAATGTTGAAGGGCAATCTTGTCTTTTACCATTTTTTAGGGGCTATTTGGCTAAAATTTTTGACGGAGGGTGTCATTGTTTAAAAAAAAGCCTAATTTGCACATGGCTGTTATTACAGTAAACCTTAAGGGGTGTCGTTGTAATTAATCCAAATTTTTATTTTTATTTACTCTTTTTTTTTTTTTTTGTGTATTATTATTATTATTTTGTATCAAAACTTTTAGAATATCTCATAGTTCATCATAAATTATCAAAGAGAGGCTTTACGGGATTCTAATAAAACTTTGTTGGGTTTTGTAACTTGAATTTAGTGTGTATACATTCTTTTGTAGAATATGAACCAGTCCAAGTTATTTAGACTAGTCCAACTAGGGTGAAGTTTGTAATTGAGGAAGATTTCCCTGGATGAACAAGTCTACCTGGGGTTAACTGAGTGCATCTGCCATTACATTCGTTTTTCTTAGGCGGTATTGTATATAGAAATAGTAATCTTTCACAAACTCCAACCAAGTGTGCTGTCTCATATTCAGTTCCTTCTGCGTGAAGAGATACTGCAAACTCTTGTGGTCACTAAATAGTCTAAAGGACTCTCCCAACTGATAATGCCTCCAAATTTGTAAGGCAAAGACCACAGCTGTTAACTCTAAATCATGAGTCGGATAATTAAGCTAATGAGACTTAAGCTTACGAGACCCATAAGAAACCAGTCGCTCCTCCTGCATCAAAACGCATCCCAAACCTTGCAAAGAAGCATCTGTGTAAACAAAATACTTTATCCCACTATGTGGTGTAGCTAGAACAGGTGCAAAAATCAACTTTCTCTTCAACTTGCCAAACGCAATCTGACAATGTTCATCTCACACAAACGATACACCCTTCTTAGTCAAATGGATGAGTGGTCCCATTATCTTCGAAAATCACTGGATGAATCTGCGATATTATCATGTCAATCCTAGAAAGCTGCAAATCTCTGTAGGTGGAATAGGTTGTCCCCACTCTAAAACAGCTGAGACCTTGGTTGGATCCACCGCTATCCCTTCTCTGACACCACGTGACCCAGAAATTTCAACTCTCGATGCCAAAAATCACATTTCTCAAACTTGGCATACAACTGGTACTCACGAAGCATCTGTAACACCGTATGAAGATGTCTAGCATGATCCTTTTTTAACTTAGAATAAACCAGAATATCATCGATGAAATCAATGACGAACTGATCTATGACGAACTGATCTAAGTAAGTCCTAAAGACAACTGGAGCAATAGTCAACCCAAAAGGCATGACTCAAAATTCATAAGATCCACATCTAGTGAGAAGAAGATGATAGGTTAAAGGTGGAGGGATCTTTGTTCGAGGTAGAGTTATGAAGGAGCGCATGAAGATGACTTTCGAGCCAATATGGAGATTATTAGGTTTTGTGGCCTGAATTTAGTGTGTATGTAATGTTCTCCATAAGATGGACCGGTCCAACGAGGTCCAATTGGGGTGAAGTTTGAAGCTAAGGAAGATTGCCCCAAATGGAGATTCTAATTTGGAAGGTTGAAAATGTAAGAAGGATTTGTGATTGTTATGGTAAGTCCTTGCAGGTAAATTGTAGAAATCTTGTCCGGTTAGAAATGGGTTTGAAAACTCTCTAAATAGAGGTGAGGTTGAATATAAGGATAATGATAGTTTTGGTAAAGTCATCCAAATAGACAAAATTATATTTTCTCACAACTTTCTCGAAAACATTTCTTTCTAACCAAATACATATTAGAAACTTAATTTTATTTTTCTTCACTTCGTGAAAATCATTATTTCTAATACTAGTTTATTCATTAACCAAGATTGGGGAATATGTTAAATTTCTACCATGATGATTTATTTATTAATATTCTACAATTGCACCATCTGGATAATATGGATATAATAAATCGGTTTACATTGAAGAAATTATTATACGATCCTGAGTTAATTACACGGTGACGCAATGAGCATGTGCAAAAAAAATATTTAATAAAAATATTTATAATAAAAATATTTTTTTTCATCAACGATTGAGTTTAGAAACAGTCTAAAAGATATTTTTATCCAAAAAAAAAAAGAAAAAAAAAAGAGTATATTCTAAATTAAAATGTCACAGGGACCTTGGAGCAAAAAATGCCAAGTTATCACTATCGAAACCTCTTCTCGCTGATCGAACTCAGAAGGCAACAGTACAGAGAGGGAGGGGAGGAGCTTGGATGGACTCATCATCTGGTCTGAAAACCCTAAACGTTATAACGACGCCTCTCCATTTCTGCGCCAGAGCTGCCCTATTTCGTTCACTGCACTTTGCTCAAGTCAAGAAGAAATTCCAATTTTCTCTCTCCTCTTCACGCTCCTATCCACTCTCCAATCTCTGTACTCCCTCTCTCTCTCTCCACACACACACAAACATATATATGTGCTATGCAAACATATCAATAATTGATTTTGATGCTTTCAATCGAGTGTATTTGCTCTGCCTTTTTATTCAACCAGTGAATTTCATTTTCAACCAGTGAATTTCATTGTTGTAATGTAATAGTAGAACTGCTTTTGTTCGGCAGCTGAAAGAGGCCAGGTCAGTTCTCTGCCTGACGGCATCGGTGACGCAATCTGTGAAACCCCACAGAACAAGCTTCTTCAAGTGGTGTTAGTTTCTCCTCAGGTATTACATTAACCCATAGTGACACATATTATAGAAAAATTGCACTGCCCAGTGTATATACTGCCTTAGCATTATTTTGCACAAAGTGGCCGCTCTGACACTCGAACCCACATCTTCATATTTTTCAATGTTTTATAATTTTTGAAAATGTTGTTCATTTCTTTTGTTCCATTATAGTATTCAGAGTTGCAATATATTTCTGTTATAATCAATTAATCACATAGTATACAATGAGATGATTGGTGTCTGGTGATTTTTCTTATGCTTCATTTTGTTGCCAGAAAATTATAGAATTGGATAGAAAAATAAAATTTTAACATCATATTAGTGTTGTTGGTTTTTCGATTATTGTAATTCTCTCCAACTATATTTGAAAGTTGTATTTAGCATAGGTAAGTGGTTGTTATGTTATTGGGTAACAAAATGATATATACAAGATTCTGATCAACAAAATGGGGAATTTTAGAATTTGTATATTTTGTATTAGTTGAAGTAATTTTGATGTTCCTATGTTGCTAAAGTTGTTTCTGCCTGATATAAGTACATGCACACATATCTATCTATGCATCTAAGATCAAATCCTTTTTTGTTCAGTATCTAGAATCTTTAGTGGTCTAACAAGACTAAGTGATAGTTTTGTTGATGACGTTGCAAGATAAAGATCATGTTATAGCATCAAAAAAATCTGACTATAGCACTTAGGGGATGATAAGGTACATCAAACTCATAATTTTGCAATAAAGATCATGTTATAGCATAAAAAAAATCTGACTATAGCACTTAGGGGATGATAAGGTACATCAAACTTATAATTTTGCAGTCGAAATCGCAAAAGAACCTTCTCTTGCTCTCTGAAATCCTTAGGATAAAGCTTCTCTTCAAGATTGCACACATAATCAATTTTAGATACCAACAGGCCTGTGGCCTAGCGGTACCAGGCCCCTACTTCCCAAAGGGAGGTCATGGGTTCGAACCTTAGTAGAGGCATGTGTGTATGAGTACCAACTAGGAAAAAAAAAAAATCAATTTTAGATAATTTATAGGCATCCTAGTATCCAAAGTAAAGCTAAGAATAAGTAATTGCCTGCTAGCTAAATCTACTATTTAACTCTTGCAATTGAGAATCCCTTGTAGCATTAAATATCAATTTGATAATGATGCTAAACCGTAATACGATCTTGTTACGTAACAACTCCGAGCACTTATATTAGACATTTAATGCAATGTCTTTCACAAATTGATTTCACATTTTTGATGCATTGTCTTTCACAAAAAGATTTCACAATTTCAAGGAGAGTATCCCAATTATTGCCCCTTTAGCTTTTGTAGTTGAGACAAATGCATAGCATTTTAAATGTCTTGAGTTTTTTGGTTGTACAGCTTAATTAAGGCTATCGATTTTTCCCATAATTTCTTTTACTAGATGGAAGAAAAATATAAACTCAAAAGATATGTAATAGCATCATAAGTAGCATCAACATCACCATGCTGAGAGTAAGTAGATCCTATTTCAGTAGTGTTTTGAATAATAGAACATATTGCACCAAACATCCTTATCAAGTTGCAAACAATCCAAAATATGGGGCGAATAATCCAAAATAAGTGAAAGAGTAAGCCAAAAAGTGTGACCAGTCTTGCACAACTTTGGAGTTCCTTTGTCTCTATGAAAGTTACGGACCAGCTCATGAGCCAGCGGCTCCAATTCTGGATTTGCCACTATCGTATACTTCTAGTAGCTGCATGTATGGGGAGAATGGCCAATAGAAAAGTTCCTATCAATACTTATTTTGAAAGAGGTGGGGGCACAGCCCCTGTTCCTAAAGATGAATGTTAAGGCTGACTTGTTTTGGCTAGATCAGATGTGGTTGGTAATTCATGATCATAATTCTTGTTATTTGAACTGCAAAAATGTACTATATTTCAATGAGGGCTCCATGGCTTAAACAGATGCACCCATAAATTTTTTTATTAATTATTTTACATATACTGGTCTGACAATTGTATTGATTTGGTCAAAGAAGATGCCCATAACCTTTGACAGGGTTATCATGGGTTATCTTGTTCTTGGTTACCTACTAAAAATAGCAATTGTTTGTAACATGTAACATTGGAAATAAGCATTAAAGTGACTTAATTTTGTGCATTGACACTGTGTTCCCCTTAGCTGAATGTCAAACATGATGAATCTAAATATTTGCAGTGATTTTTACACGAGTAGGCATATTGTTAAAAAGGACTTGCTTACCATAATAATTAAGCATGAAGGATTTACTTATCAAAAAAATAAATAAATAAAAAAAAATAATAATTAAGCATGAAGGAGTTATCTGTATATGCATCTATTTGATTGATAAAAATTAGGATCTTGGGTTATGTAAGCATGTGTTAAAGAAGAATGTTGAGGCTGACTTGTTTTGGCTAGATCAGATGTGATTGGTGGCTATTGACCATTATTCAATTTATTCTTGTTATTTTTAACGCGAGAGTACACTATAATGCCAAGGAGGGCTTCATGACTAAAAAAGCAATACCCATATTCTCTTTCACTAGTAATTTTGTTACTCTGGTCTGTTTATAGTTCCAATTTGGTCAAAACTTAAGATACCCATGACTGTTGGTGTGGTCATAGATTATTTTTTTCATGGTTACCTGCTAAAATAAACAATTACTTGCGAAGAATTGAAATAAACTGTAAAGTGAGTTAACTTTGCACGTTAACTAACCTCATACACTGGCTCTTTTAAGATTGAAGTGTACATCGTGTTAATATTTTGTTACCTTATTACCTTGTTCTAGTTTTACTTTTATGATTTCTTTTGGGTTGCAGACAACCTAATATCGCAAGACTGGCTTTGAGATTGCTATTGTCCTTGGCAGATTCCTGGAAACACTGGATGTATTGCCAGAACTTGTGCAGCATCAGCTGTTGGATTACACCTAGTTGAGGTAAATGTAATCTGAGTTCAATTTGTCTGTTTAAATCTCTAAGTTGAATAGCAAATGAGTCGTTATTTTTTTCCTTTTTATCCTTTACTCATCAGTAACTTTGGCAATTTCAAAATTTCAGCCGTTAGGATTTCAGGTGGATGATACAAAACTAAAACGTGCTGGACTGGATTACTGGCCGTATCCATTATATTGTTTTTGTGATTTATGTTTCTTCAATAAATTTTTTCTAGTGTAAGCTCCTCTCTGTTATTCTTCAATGTTTATGAATATGTCTTGGGAATTAAGACTCCCATTAGGACTGCAAACATTTTTTTATTTTCCATTTACTCTAGTTACAGGTTTCACCCAAAAATTTGGAATTATGGACCCCTGCAGTTCATGTCTGTAAATTTGTGCATCATTATCTATACTTACCTTCATTTCCTAATTTTTTCTCCTCATTTTTTTTTCTTTTTTTTATTTCTTTTTCTTTTTGTGTGTGTTTGGTTTTGAGTTAAGATAGAATTTACTGGTTTACATGCTGACTTATTATGTTTGACAGTGCATTCTCAATCCGTGTGCTTTTCCTAACTATTCGGTATAATCCTTCAGTATGAATTTACTGGTTTACATGCTTTTCCTTATAGCCTTATATAGTTACTTTATCATCATTATCTGCAGCATCCTTAATTTTCTAAATGCAATACAAGAAATTACTTGTTTCAGCAATTAACTCTCTCAACTAGATATGTAGTTGTTAAAGTACATGGTTCATGGGCAAGTTTTTTGGACTATTTCAAGCAACAGGTCAGTCTTTTATACGAAGTTCAATAATTTCCTATTATATAAAAAGTTAAATAATTTCTTCTTTCTCTTCAACTTAGTACATATGTATATCCTTTACAGGAAGGGGAAAAGCGGTTGCTGGCATTTACCAAGAGAGGAACAGCTATTCATTCAGTAACATTCCTTTCTTTTCTTTTCTTTTTTTATATTAAAATTTTTTTTTCTTAAGTTTTAATTTAGAACTGTAAGAATGACATTGTCAAAGGCAGTTTTTGCCATTTGGTATTTTTTTGGTAAATTTTATATCTCTTGCATATAAAAGAAGTCTCAAATGCAATAAAACTAACAACTATGTGGCTAATAACAAGCAACAGAGGGAGGATGCATTGAGGTGGATCCCTGATAGGAGAGGCTAAGATGGTGTAAGATCATTTTATAGGGTGCTTTGTTGAGGGAAAAACATTTACTCCCTTGGAAAGCCGTTTGGAAGACTAAATTGCTTAAGAGGTGTCCCTTTTTTTTTTTCCCCCCGAAATTGAATTGGAGTGATCTTGACAGTACATAATTTGGGTCAAAGGGGAAAGATGCTCTTAATTGGTTTGCATGTCCAAAAGGGTGGAAAACACTATCACCTCTCCTATACTGTGCAGTGGCCGGGGACACACAGTCTGTTATTCCCTTTTTAGTAATCATTGGGTTATGGCTCTGTCCATAAAGGAGTTGCTTTCTTGTAGTGTGGGGGTTGTACCATGAAAGGGTTTGTCAGACTTCATAGATTGTCCTTTATTTTTTTCTTCCTTATGTTGTGCATGGAATGGAATAGACACTTTAAAATTATGAAGATGCCTAATATAAAACAAATGATGTTTGAATTTTTTGCATTTTTAGATGTCTGGGAGGTTCCCCATTCCTTACACGTTTTTGTTAATTTTATTGGAGAATGGCCTTATACAGGAGCTTAGTTTGATGCTTCTTTGTCCGCTGCATTGTCCACTTGACAACTTATAGGTATAAGGGGGCAAAAAAGGGTTCGTGTCTCCATCTAAATAATCCGCAAATGATTAAACCAGCAACTTTTATACCCCTTGGGCATCTACTCTAGCAATGTTGGTGGAGAAGTGTAATGATTTAGGAAACATCTGTTAAATGCCACTGCTCTTCTGTTTATATAATTTTGTAATTTGAATTCCTTAATTCGTGCCAACACCACTGTTCAATCTTGAGATTGATTCTTGTTTGTAAATAAGTCCAATATTTGGTTCCCCGCCCTCCCCCCTTCCTTCCTATGGGGCCTTGAACTCTCGACCTTCTACTTTAGAAGTTGGGGTGGTACCCACTAGGCTATAGCCCTTGGTCGTGAATTTACCATAACTTGAATTCTGTTCATGCAGGATTTTTCCTACAGAAGAGGTGATTGGCTCATATTTGGCTCAGAAACTTGCGGGCTTCCACCTGAAGTCCTGCTCGACTGCAACAGCAAAGCATTTGGCGGTGGTACCCTTCGGATTCCTATGGTTGAAACTTGGGTTAGGTGTCTAAATTTATCTGTGAGTGTTGGCATTGCTTTGTATGAAGCTTCCAGACAGCTAAACTACGAGCAGCTTCAATGTCAATCTGAAACCTCCATAGAGAGCGATAAATCTTTTAGAACTGAAGATATTTTTGCTTAATTGCATGCTGTCAAACTTATGGTTATTCAAAGTTGTACTCAGGTAATTTATTGACAGATAGGGCAAGAACTAGCATTTGATTATTTGATTTTCTTATGATATTTTGATCGCATTTCTTTTCTTGGGTTTCTGCAGAAAATTTCACCTACTGTGAAGTGGTGGTCCTTTTATTTTTTACTGCGACATGAATGCTTCAAACCATGCTGCTAAAATCATATTCAATATTTGAAAAAAATTGCATTGTAGGAGGACGGATGAGAAAGTATTGGGTGTCCGAGAGTACCGAAAATATAGTATTTCCAACCACTGGAGAATTTCCATTGGCTGGGGCCATTCTAGGTACTCCGGGATATTGAAATTTTTTCCCTTGTGAATGAAATTTAAGTGATTCTTAATGTTAATGGTGTTAAGGCTGGCTTTAACGGTTTTTTTTACTAATGAAAATTTGCAGGTGGTATAATTTTTTTCCGCTCAAATGGGAGGTGAGGGATTTGAGTCCTATAGTGAGCATTTGTAGGACTGAGTGTAATAATTTTACCTAACCCAAAAAAATAAAAAATAAAATCCCTGGTTTTTGGTTTTACCTTAACGTATAATAATAGTATTTAATAGGTTTTTTTGGTTCATAGGGCCCAAAGATTGGTTTGGTCTGGGTCTGGCTCTGTTCATGGCAGCTGTGTTTGTACATAGGGCCCATAGACTCCCCAGTTGGTGATCAGAAAAGTTTTGGATCCAAATGGGGTCTTTGTTTTTATTTTTTCTTTTCTTTTTTTATTCTTATATCATCATCACATTGCTGGTATTAAAAAATGTCCGTTTTAGGAAAATAATTTAAAATAAAATTGTACAAGTCAGCCAAAAATTAAACTTCAATTTTAAGAAGCGTAATAAAAACGTAAATAATTTATAATTTTTCATTATTTCATAAGAAATCACTATTTAGTTGAATTTGACCAAGCGATTTCACACGCAAAACATATTACTATATTGTGGTGGGTCTTACTTGGTATCAGCGTGCTTGACACAGTCAAATCAGTCTAAATATTTTTTATTTTATTTTATTTTATTTGAAGATAGTCTGGGCAACTCCATGTTAAAAACGGAGACATTAAAAACACCTGTAAGGGTAAGGATAGTAGGATAATCTAGTTTAATATACTACACTAACAAACAACGGTATTAGTATTAAACAAATACTGTAATTCTTATGATATTTTTATGGTTTTTTTCCTCTCATTTCATGTGTGGTTTGTCTATTGTTTGGTTGACGTTATCACGTGAGTGCAGTGACTGATGTTGTAACGAAGACGACGCGAGACCCATGTTCTACGGCCTACCCTGACTGTGTCAGAGTATGATCTTGCCACGTGGCGATTTTCCATCCCTTGATATGGTTGACTTTATAATATGGAGTACCCAACTTTCGTGAGGTTCCTTCGACACTTGCTAATGTTCAAACAACCATCATCGTCCCCACATTTTCTCCCAATTTTTACTTGCCCCTTTTATTTATTTATTTACTTTTATTTTAAATTTTAATATTTGATAAACATAACCTTAAATTATGATTTTTTAAAAAATATTATATACAAACCGGATTTGACTCTCTCATAAGGTCGCACAAGCGGACTCGACTTGTATTAAACTATTTTTATTTTTACACACTCAATTTTTCTTGAAATGTTCATACTATCTGAACTAATTTTTATTAATATTTTAATAGAAAATTATTGTTTCATTACTGGTAAATCGAGAACACATATTTGAAACTTGAATTGAAATTTTCTTATAAATAATTTTAATGGTTAATATTGGTGTTCATTTATATCATGTTACTTTGCATCAACGAAATATCAGATTGCATGATAATGCTGAAATGGAAGAAACGTTGAAATAATGTTGTTTGATTTAGTTCGGTTCTTTGAAATATATATGGTTCAACAATTTTGAAAACATAGAATAAATTTTAAAACATCACATAATACTTTCTTTCTATAGATTAGACATTTCTGTTGTTCTGTTTTAATGAGCACTTTTCAAAAAACTGTTAACCAATGAACTATTAAGCGATGCTGAATTTAGTTTCTTGGGAAAAAAAATGCCCTAAGAAGTTTCAAATTGGAAGTTAAATTTGGCTTGCTTTGAGTTGACAGGTAGAGGTAGTTTAGGGTTTTGTAAAGCGAACACCATGGTATGAGGAAGTTTAGTAGAGTATACTAAGAACTCCAGGGCAAGAATTCATGTAAATCTCCCAACCATTATTATATTACACATAACCATAGTAAAATTTATTCTCATCAATGGACGTAAGTTGAGTTTTTCGAACTACATAAATATTGTGTTAGTGAAATATCTTCTCTCATCCGTGAAAGTAGATTAAGTTTGGCCGAATCACGTAAATCTTGTATTTGTGTGTGATTGTTTTTCTTATCATTGGATCTCCGTGTTCCTGTACTTCGGTTGCCTACTAATAAGTGGTATTAGAGTTAGGTTCATGTTGGAAAAGTTCAGCCTTTATTGGAAGGAGATTCGAAAAACACAAGGAATTTCAATAGATATTGCAACGGATTTCAGTTGTAGATGGAGTTAATCAATCAGCTTGTTTATTCATGATTGTCAGAAAATTGTGATGAATTCTATGACATAGAGCTCGAGTAGTTAAAGTAGAGCCTTAGAGGTTTGACTGATGAAGCAGCATACAATGAGACAATCAAAATTTTGCAAGAGGATAGTCAGCGTCGGGCCTCAATGAATTGTCTTCATTAATGCCATGGGAAGTTATGATTGGCTTGATGGAATTTGAGACAAGGAGAAGATTGTTAGGAATTATGGCCCATATTTTTAGTCTAATTAGATTTTTATTTTAGAGTTATATTTTATTAGGTAATTTTTTGTTAGGCAAGTCTTAACTATAAGAGCCAGTTTGGTAGAACGGAAATGAAAGGAAAAGAAAAGAATGGTAGTGGAAAGAAATAAAAAAATGTGTTTGGTAGGAAATGTTGGATGGAAAGAAAGGAAAAATGAAGGATTTGGATGGATAAAATAAAGCATGAATAGTAATTTTTGTTAACTTCCAAAAATGGAAGGAAACGGAGGGAAAGTTAATGAAACTTTGTTAATGCCAAATTTGTCCTTATTTTTATACAAGAAAGACTATGAAAAATGGTATGATTGTAAATTCATTACAATAGTTACTTTTTCTTTATTTCCCCAAACATGATTATTATCGTTTTATTTAATAATCAATCAAACACAACAAGTAATTAACACTATCTTCTCTTTTCTTTTTCTTTCTTTTTTTTATTTTCTCTCCCAACTAATGTTATACTCTTCCATTATATCAAACGTAGCCTAAGGAATTATAATTGTTGTCCAACAAAGAATTGAGTTTTGGATTCTCTAAATATGCCTAGTTATAATTTACGGGTTAACACTAAGGGAATGTTTGGTGTGGTGTGATGAATTGGAATGGAAAGAGAATGGAGGTGGGAATGGAATGAGAATTGAATGGAATGGGAATAATGATTCTCATTCTACCGTTTGGTTGCAAATATGAAATGTGTAAAAATAGAATCTCATTCTCATTCCTATGTTTGGTAAGAAAGTTGGAATATAATGAATTTATATTGTTTCTTTAAATTACATTTTATTATTAGTAAAAAAAATTAACTAAAAAAATTAATCTGCAAAAATAAAAGGGAAAGAGATAATAGAGAGAGAAAATAGACGAGATAGAGAGAAACAAATGGCTCTCCAATGACTGCAAAAATAAAAAGGAAAGAGATAATAGAGAGAGAAAGAGAGAAAATAGACGAGATAAAAGAAACAGAGGGCTCTCTGATGATTGTAAAAATAAAAGGGAAAAAGATAATTTTCGGATCATCTTTTCCAGCGAGAAAAAAGAAACAGAGGGCTAGATAATGACTGAGAAAGTTGCATAACAAAGCACAAAAGCTCATAGAAGTTCGCTTACACTATTTTTGTCTCATCCTTGTGTGTGTAAATCGGAGAGAGGGAACAAACAACATATATATATATATTTATTTATTTATATATATATTACATTGTATAGTGTGTGTACGCTTGAATTATCTCTTTAAATTACTTTATTACTTTATTAATTCTTGGTGGGAATGGAATGGTCATTCCACCTCTCAAGAAAAGGAATTGGCATTCCACCTTTTTGATGGAATGGACATTCCCTAGAATGGCCATTCCACTTTTAATGTGACACACCAAACAAGAGAATGAAAATAAATGCATTCCATTCTACCTTCATTTAATTCCATTCACTCACACCAAATATAGCCTAATAGCAAGAGGAAAGAGAAAAGTTTATGGAATACACAAACAAGAATTATAAAGTGTACATGACATAATCACAGTAGAGTTGTTTATTTATTTATTTTAGAATTTGATTCAACCACGTAAATCTTGTACTTTTATGTGCTACTAAAGAAGAAGGGGGTTTAGGTTTTCGCAATTTGGAGGCTTTTAATGATGCCTTGTTGGCTAAACATGGTTGGAATTTTCTGGTAAATCAACAGGGTTTAGCTTTTGAGTTGTTTAAGGCTAAATATTTTCGCCAATGTTCCTTTTTGGATGCGCCGTTGGGGTCCAATCCATCTTGGGCTTGGCGGAGTATTTGGTCTATACAACATCTCATTGCCGAGGGATCCAGATGGATTGTGGGGAATGGTCAATCTATCAATCTATAGACTGATCGTTGGGTTCCCGGTATCCCTGGAAAGCTGTCTCGGCCTCCTCATTTGGCAGGGCCAAATTTGGTAGCGGATTTTGTGATACCCCTTGGATCCGAGACACGGGTTGATTAGGCCCAGGCCCAAACTCGAGGGAATATCAAACAATTAAAGTATTTTAAAGCGAACACAGATGACAAAAATGAACTAATAAAGATGAAATAAAACTGAAAGAAACATTAATTATAAAACCCTTCATGCATAACTGAAAAATAAAACTCCAATCCTCCAAAACTTCAAGGTTACAACTTGGGAATCCACTGGTGGACCCCTAACCAAAAGGTCAATTGAAACTGAAACTGAAAACTGAAAATAGATAATGCTAGAAACATCGAGAGAAGTCCTACGTAATCAGATGAATG